CCCCCCCCCCCCCCCATCGCTCTGGGATGCACAAGGTCACCAAACACAATCTTTGTCCTCCCACCCTGCAGCAGGACCAGCAAAGCAGCCAAACACACTCCCCTGAGAAGGTCTGGATGTGCCATGGAAATATATCCTGAAGGGAGGAGTAAGACAATGTAAAAGGTTACAGAGTTTAACCACCAAGAGGGAGGAACAAGGTTATATAAAGTTTTACAGGTCAGGACAAAGACCTCAAATATATTAAAGAAAATAAACAGAGGGATGAAGTCAGCCACCCATGAGCGCCAAGGCTGGCTTGGGCTCTTTAAACAATTTGGGGGTTGATTGAGAGTTTTTGAGGATCAAATCCAGGGTTACCCAAACTGAAAGAGACCCTACAGGGAGATGAGGGGTTGGAGACAGCTACCAGGCAAAGAGCTCCTGACACACAGTGTGGGAGTCACTTCATGAACAGTCACTGAAATCAAAGCTACACCTCTGTTAAACACCCGGTTTCAGACTGAACTGAACTCAAAGAGCAGGAAGCACGTGGAAATGAGAAAAAACCCTTTTATCCAACAGCTCTCCCTCTGGAGAGCGAAGCTGGAGCAGAATCCCAACTCCATGCGTCCCTGGAGCAGCCCACAACTTCTCCTTGCTGGAGAAGAGCATCACTGGCAGTGCTGAGGAGCATCAGCCCAGCTGTGGCACTGAGCCCCTGCCCTGGCACCCAAAATGTCCTTTTTCAGGGACACAACACCTTCCTGTCCCCTCTTGCACCGATGCCACTGCGCTGCTCTCGGTGAGTGGCTCCTGCTTCCTACCCAGGAATGGGATTGAGGTGAGGGAAGCACATAATAAATACAGCTTCCCACACCCTAAAAAACTTCCTTCCCATTCATGTACCTCAGCTGCTAATTTTAGGACAGAGCTTTAAGCCACATATGAGACTCTCCCTGAATCCTGGCTGCATTGCAGGGAGACTCAGCCCTGCCAGCCCTGCACGGGGCCCAGCTTTTCCTTGGAAGACAACTTGGAGATGCTGCTTTTGTATCCTACATTATCTATCCACTGCCAGATTGACAAAGTCTGGGACACAGAGGTATTTATTTCTTTGGTTTTATGTCCTAATGCAATAAATTCTTCTGAGGAGTTAATTCGGTACCATTCCAGCTCCTTCCTTTCTGCCTCAAGGGGAAAGGTGTATGGAGGAAATAAATTCCTGCCACATCCATCACTGTGTACTCCAATGCTTTCCCACCGTAAGAATAAACCCAAGGAGTGATGATCCAGCACAAAATGAACACTTCATGCATTTTATTGAGTCTATTTAGATTTGCATTATAACACCTTACATAGGGAACAAACTCCTCCTAAGTGTTAGCTGGCAAACCTGGTCAAACTGTGTCCAACAACCTCTGAGTACCAGTTTGTATTAAACAAGTCCAGTATAAACAAATGTAAAGCACTGTTTAAAAAAAAAAAAAAAAAGGAAAAAATAATAAAGAAAAGTGTTACATTCACAGTGGAATTCAGGGCTTCCCAACCAACAGCCTTCCCAGCACAGTGAAATTCAGAAAGGGGCTCAAATATTGTAGCTAAAGGGAATAAAATCAGATATAAATCAAATAAATTCCATGTTATGTTTCCCTATAAGACAAAAGAGATACAGTTGATCTGAGAGGTTGGGAAGCCCTGGTATAACAGATGCAAATCTCTTTTTTTAACACATCACCACTTATTAGTACTTTGGGTACGTTACCATTAATTGTGTCTCTCCAGCCTCCTGCTTCCCCCCCGAGTTGGGGACAAACAAAAAGCCTACTGTACATCAGGGCTGGAAATATTTCTGAAGTTGTTATAAATTCCTCCATGTGGCGCCAAGCCAACCTTCATCCAAAGCTCCTCCTCCTGGGAGAAGGCAGAGGAGCAGGCAGACATTTCCGACAGCTGGGCTGTTCCTGGGCTCCCCAGACCCCTTCCCAAAGCAGGACACCGCCTCCAGGGACACACGGATCCCAAAGGAAGGGTGAGACAATGAGGGATGGAGGCTCAGAACCCCCTCAGCCTCACCTGCACCTCTCCTCACCCTGCATCATCCATCCCCTCGTTGTTGTGGTGAGACCACTGGGCTGTGGTTTATCCAGCCTGGGTCCACCCGGGAAAGGGGCCTTTGGAGTCCCACATTTGCATAACCCAGCCAAGTGACAGGAAACGAGGATGACACTCATTATGAGCCATTGTGCCAGCTCTGGTGGGAAAGCCCTCCGTCTGCAAGGCGACACAATGGACAATTAGGGTGGGTGTCGTGTCCTGCAGCTGCTGTGCCTGCACGGCAGCGCTTCCTACAAAAGGCCCTTAAAACTCCCTGATTTCTATGCACCGAGTACCTACACAATCAAACCGGTTTTAAAACAACTCAACTGCCTCCAAGTTCTCTGCAAAAAACCCAACTTGTCTTTAGAAATAAAAAATATGCACGTGAAAGGGAAGTCCAATCAGCACCAGGAATTCAGACTTTTCACAGATAAAGCCCCCCCCACCCAAAAAAAAAAAGAAAAAGATAAAGTGAGCACCCCCAAATTTGTGTTTGTTCACAATGTGAATTAAAATATGAACCAACAGCAACTTGTAAGTAATGTATTTATTAAAACCGTGTTCGTCACAAGGCTTTGGCCTGGTGACCACTGTCACTGCTGTGGGCAGGGGTCTGTCCTGGCAGACAGGAATGAAGCTCACGCACCAGGTATTCCCAGCAGGAGTTCGGACATTTGGGAAAAAACCCCATGGTAAGCACTGAGTCGCAATGACACGGAGAATCCTTAGGAATCAAAATAAAAGCTGCTGATCCTGCAAGGAATCCCGCTGGTGCTGAAGGCAGATCCCACACGGTGGCACTGTGACCCAGGCCACAGCGCACAGGGCTCTGCCTCTCCAAAGCCACCATTCCTACAAATCAGCCCTAGGAACGTGCCAAAACTCGCCCTTTTAACCCTTCACACCCCTCCAGGCACGAGTGAAAATGCTGTCTCTCCAGAAATACAAAAAAAAAAACCCCAAAAACTAAGCGAAGAGCTAAATACACATGTTCACTATCAAAATAATTCATGAAATGTAAATTAGTCTTAATTATGAAAGTGTTTCACATTTTGTAAGCAACTGAAATGTTAATATTGGCTTTTCCTAACTCCAATCTAAATTTAGATAAATAGAAATTTAATTACCCTAATTAACTGAGCTACATAAAGAAGTTTTTGCTGCAGACAATGAGCCCCTTTAGCACACACAGCGCTGCGAAAGGCAGAGGAACCATGGAGAACAATCAACGTCTCTTAAACTGAGATTAAATTATTTGTTCTTGGTACCGTTTGGGAAAACCTCCAAGATTTTATTAGTTGCTCTAATAAAGTTACAGAAAGATAAAATGTAAAGACATGCCATAAGCTATAACAAAAACTGTTGTTTTGGGGCACTTCTACCAAGGTGGAAATTCCATGGAAAAGGTGGGGCGACAGGTACCACAGCCATGCTTTGCGTGGGTTTGGGAAAATGGGCTCCCCTCCTGGTGGTCACCAGCTCTAGTCTGAGATTAACATCTCTGATTTCCAACATCTAACACTGTACTCATGTAGAGAGGGTTTTTTTCCTTCTAATTCTACACTCTATAATTCTGGAAACTGCAACTGAGAGTGAGTATTTGCTCTGTGAAATTCAGAAGTGTTATTTTGCTGTGAAATTTTGGCACAGAGAAGCCAGCACCCAGAATCCACAGCCAACTCCAATTTCACAGTGATGCGTGTCCAAGGAAAAAGCCAAACCCGTGAACTGATTGTTCTGTTCCCAAAGAACCCTCGTGTTCCCTCTGCCACGATGGTGTGTCCCACCAGGAGGAAAGGAGCTCAACAGCCAGTCATGGCTTCCCACTGAAACAACAGCACAAAATGCACATGGAGAAAAATAACCCAAAATTTTGGGATGCTGTGGAATCCTGAACCAGCTGATGAGATGTTAAAATGGCTTAGAGCAGCGATTATAGTTTATGCACCCACCACTATAAAACACCAAAAACGTGTTTTAATTAGGAAAAAAGAGATAGGCCAGCTTTGGTTTTGTCATCTGAGGAACAAGCAACATTTCCCATCCAGCCAGCAAGAGCAGCTCATATCCCTTCAGACTACTGCCCTTGAGTGGAAATAAATAAAACCCACTTTCCCACTGCACATGTAAGCTAGGATAAAGCCAAAACCTTAGAGAATAAAACAAAGACGGGGGTCAGTGAGGGTGAAGGATGTTTCCCCACACATACACTCTGATGGGAGTTGAGGTACATTCTCCAATTCTGAACCGCAACAGGTAATGTACATAATTTTCAAAGTCAATTCATCTTCATTCTGTCCAAGAGGAATATAAAGAGTCCGTTGGGTTTTTACTGTTAGTCACAAGAATCTCCTACACATTTAAGTGCACTCATTTTAAAATGTAACCCAACACTAATGATGTGCTTTCCAGTTATTCCCTGAGGCACTTGCACCACAGGCTACCAACACCACACCACTCAACACGTCCAGAGGTTACCAGTACAGCTGAAGCTTGTGAAGAACTAAAAACCAACCTCTCCATACTTGTTTGCTGAAGTTACATTGCCTCAAAAATTGAGAGGAAAAGCTGATAGAAAAATTGGGCACAAACCTCAGTGAACAAGCCAGTACACACAGGTTTGTATTATTCCATATTTGCAACCATATCAAGAAATAACCAGCCATTAGAACAGTTTCTAATTTTTATCATCTTTTTTTTTTGGTGGCATTACTGCGCCAAAACACTGCAACTATAACATTTAATTTCCGATTTTTTAAATGCAATTAAATGTCTAATCCAACTGTTTTTATGTTACAGTAGCTGTTCACAGGAATAGTACAGATATGCACTGCTCTTGACAGGTACACAGTCACAAAAGCAGCTCTCTCATGTTCAGTTTGCTCTCTGTGTAGTGGGGTTTGTATGAAAAGCGTTCTTGATTTCTAAGCATGGTACAATTTTAATTCTTAATGCGTTAGTACAACAGTGCATTGGAAAAGTACTGAGCTTCTACAAAAAAGCTTTACAATTTTAAAACAGATTTTTTTTTTCCTTTATTTAAACAAGCATAGGCAATTCTTATATTTCCACAACAAGATAAATATCCCAATTACGCTAACAGCTCATCCTACAGCGTGCCATAGTGATGGGGAAAGGGCTAACATTAGTGTTATTTACACAGACATGTCCAATATTAACCCAGGAGGAAAATTAAAAGTATGCTCAAATGTGCAATTAAATTAATATTATTTTTTCAGAGAGCTGGATTTCTTGCAAAAATTCCTCTGACTCACGGACGCTGAGCTGGGATAACTTCTCAAATAACTCCTCAGAAGCACAATCTTGAGGACAAATTGTTTATTGGACTGGGATGGCAAGGGCTGGGAAGGAGAAAGAACTTAATAACTTCACAAAGAAAAAAATATTTTGAAACGGGGAGATGTCTTTGGACAAGTGAAATTGAACACCCAAACCGACTAGAACTCGAAAAACCTAATTAAAGAAATTTTCCAATTCCCAAATCTTGAATCCAGAGAAAATGCTTTCATGAGGGAAGATTCACTCCGAGTCATTACTATACACCGAGGTACCACTCAAAAAGTGGCCATAAAGGAAGTGACTTCTTTGCCCATCACTATCACACCAGCTGCCTGGCCATTGACTCAGCTCTGCTTTAGACCACGCTCTCTCTGTTCCCAGAGGCAAGGACTGCCCTGCGGCAGATGGGGCAGGTGGAGTTCTCCGACAGCCAGCGGTCGATGCAGTGCACGTGGTACTCGTGCGAGCACGGCAGCTTGCGGAGCTTGTTGCCCTCCGTGTACTCTGTGATGCACACGCTGCAGGTTTTCAGAGCGTCGCTCTCACCAAAATTCCTCATGGCTAGGTTGTCAATTTGTTCTTTGGTGAGTCCTCTCGGTTGGTCATCGTCGTCTTCGTTGAGTAGGAAAAATTGTGCAAGGCTAAGGAACGGTAGAGAACCGCTTTCTTCAAAAGTGACCGATCCCCTCATATTCCGGCCTTCCCGCCTGGCACCAGATGTTGAGCCAGCCTCGTGCCCGCCCTCGTACACCTCCCCTGAGCTAACATCTGCATTCTCACTGCCCGAGGCGCCTCCGCCCCCGCTCTGCGGCTCAGAAGTCTCCACGTTGTGACTGGGAGTCGACCCACTGGAATCTGCATCGCTATCGCTGTACATGAAGTAGCTGAGCTCCCCGAAGCCTGTCATGATCTGCCTCAGCATGGTCTGGATGGCGACCGACGTGGTCTCGCTCAGGCCCGTGTTTAAGATCCTGCGGATGGGAATCCTAATGGTGCTGACGTAAGTTCTCACCCCGGCCCGCTCCGAGCGGGAGAAGGTGCGCCGGAAGCCTCCGCGCTCGCTCTCGTAGGTGACCGTGTTGTTGGGGGTCTGGGACCGGGAGCGGGTCCTGTTGGCTATGCTGTCCCTCTGCCGGTACTCGCCCGGGCGAACTCTTCTCACCTGCAGGTCAAGCACTATGGTGGGAGGCCTCTGCCCAGGAGCCGCGGACTCACTGGTGCCCGTGGTTTCTGAAGAACCTGCTGCTTGAGGAGCAGGCCTCGTTTCGGGGGGGGAAAACAGAACTGCATTTTCACTTGGCACCTCAGTCCCCACTGCGTGCTGCCTTAACGTCACGTGCTGCCTGGTTCTAGAGCTGCCCTCAGCCTCGCTCGCTGAGGAGTGGTCAAGTGTTTGAGATGATGTGTTGTGATGAGACCTGCGAGGGGCCTCACTCACTGCATTAATAGGTGACCTACTTCTATCAGTCCTAGCCCGCGTCCGCCGCTGTTCTGGACTCCTACTCCTGGCTCTCCTCTGCCCTCTAGGAGGGGAAGCCTCCTCAGCTGTCAGCTCCTCCGCACTGCTCCTTTCCGATCCAGGCTGCCTTACAGATGGTGATTCAGACCTTGGAATTTCAGAGTCACTTTGGCTGTTTTCCAAATCCTCCCCACTGGAAGGCTCTACAGATGGCTCGTTCTCAGTTTCTGGATTCGTGTTCCCATTATTACGGTTGACATTTATTTCCAAACTGAATCTGAAGTCGCCGCTATTTGGGTTAGTCCGGCTCACTGCTCTCCAGGACTGGTTTCCTCGCTGCCCACTTCGTGTTGTATTTCCAGTCTGTCGGACTGAATTAAGCCAGTCTATTATAGAATCTCCATTTGAAACATCTTCTGCGGACTCTGCACCTGTGAAAAAGACAGGGAACTACCAAAATTAGAGTACTGAGCTAATTTTGGAGCCATCTTTTCCAAGAACATAATTGCTTAGCTTAACGAGTGGCAATTTAGAAGTGCTGAATCCTACAGAGTGCTACTGTGGTTTCACAGGCAGTGCGACAATTCTGTAACTACCAGAGCTCTTCTAAGGGAGCAGGAGTGGACATTGCTCTAAAATGCACGGATAGGCTGCAGCCATCACAGAGCAAACAAGTCATCAAAAGAACATGTATTTTCTATCATAAGTAAATGGAAAGTCACATGTCAGGTGTCATAACACATCGATATTCTGTGTTTTCCATTCCAAACAATTAAGTGATCTATTGACCGTGAAACAGAGAATTAAGTTTGTCCTGAACCTTCACCTGCAGAGCTTTACAGCAAATCTGTCTCAGTGAAGAATGAACCCCCGTGGTCACCTCCGAGCATCCCCCACCAATCTCTACAGAAGGGTGACAACAAAAGCAATGCAGCATCTTTGGAAGGGAAGAATTAAAAAAGAGGGATCACCAAAAAGCATCCCAGAAGGGAGCAGACAGAAAGGCAATCTTAAATGAAATAAAAAAATAAATAAACCTAAGCAAAACTATTTTGATAGAAGAGATGTGTTATGAATGAAATCTGTCCCAAACTGACCTCTGCAGCAGACATCAGACATAAGGTTCACTGAGTTTTGAAACAAAGCTCACCTTGCACCTGCCTAGGCTTAACTTGTTCCACTCCTGCACTCAAGTTAAGGTCCGTATGGGGTGCTAAAGTTAAGAGTTTTCACAAATACTGTATATACCTCTATTCTCATCACTGTTTTGCTGTGGCGGACCTTCTTTAACTTGGTGTAGCCTTCTCAGCAACTCTTCTTCAGTAATTTCACCTTAGAAAATAAGCAAAATTTTCCAAAAATATTTCCAAATCATATATGTATGGCAAGCATTATCAAAAGCTTCTAAAGAAGGTACAAGCCACTGCTTGTGTTCTGTCTAATTAAATCCTGCCATAATGGCACTGCCAAGCACGTTGCTAAGGGGAAGTTCAGACACTTTAGCACTGTTGTCCCAAGTAAGTTTTCCTGAAGCTGAAATACCCAACAGTTCCATCCTATTCAAGAGAGATGCGCTCTCTGGCTCTGTAACCTCGACAACTGAGCAGCAATTTTTGTCATCCTACACCCATTAGGGTGTCCAGCGTGAAATATTTGAGGTTAACACTTCCACAAGCAGGTTTAAATTACTTGAGTCATGTTTTGAATTAGGTTATCGACCTATGAAGAGGAAATCCACCAAGTTGATTGAAAGCTGACATCAAAATGCCCATGCAGAATCTCATACCAGACTACTTACCCTGGTTACAAATTCCTAACCTCACCAGCACAAAATCTGCACACAGAGGCTTAAAGGAGATTTTTTTGTCCATCTAAGGGGTCGTAACTGGAACTGGGTGTTCCCGTGCAAACACCAGACTTCTGTATCTGATGAATCCACACCATCCTATGTCTCCACAAGTCAAGGGACCACTTGAATTTAAATGTGCACAAATTAGCAAGAGGCTACTTCCTACCACGGAACACTGCTGCAGCACACAGATGGGTGAAAGGGCTTCAGGGAACAGAAAATGACACAAATTGCTTACAAGCAACTCTAGCAGGACAGACATAGGCAAGCATGACCTACCTGGTGTTCCTAGCAAATTGTTATCTCTCATAAGCCTGTAGTCCTCTTCACTCAGGTTGTTCACAAACTGATAGAAAGCTTCTTCTCGATCTAACCGATCCAGCTGGCTCTGACGTTGGGCTTCTGATTGATCAATACTTCCTTTATCACTAGAATCTGAGCTTTCCATCTTGATGAGTAGAAGAGTACCTAAAAAAGGAGAGAACAAACCCTTCATGAGAGCAGTGAAATACAGCATGGAATTTATGCATGTTTGCAATGGACACTGAAGTACAGTTAAAGCAGTTTGCTAATGAAGCTTTAGTTAGGACCAGGCTCATCACCACAGGGATCACAAACAAAGCATGAACCTCCTCAAGAAGTACAAACAAAACTGATGCCCAAATACTCATCAAAGCAGCAAGCTGAACAAAGAATATCATCTGCCATAAGCCTTATAGCCCATCTTTGAATTCACATAGTAGGTGACTATGATTATCTGCTTTCTGCATAAAATATTCCTAATATCACAACTGCTTCTCCAAGCAGCCTTAGAGAATAAGTAGTAGAACAAGGCATAAGCCATCCTTGATTGTGCTCTCTGAGCAGAGGATTATGTGTTCCCTACCTTTTCCTGCCTGCTACAGAAACACCCTCTTCACCATACTAGTGAATTTTAACAGAATGAAGTGGTTATGAAGAACTCAAATGAAGAAGATGCTGTCGAACCCTGTGCACAAAAAAAAGGGAGAGGTTCTCATTCCCTCAAAAAACAAAAAGAGTTTGTAAAATCAGCTTTATAGTAGTACATCAAGACAGGAATTTGCTTTCAAGTTTCAGCTTTTACTGAACTACTGATGTTGATGAGCAAATTTCCAAGACAAAACTCCAGCATATACGAGGTACAGCACTGCTTTAAAGAGCTGTCTTCTAGCCTGCATATTTTTAAATATAACCTTCTCATATTGTTTCTCATTTGGATTAAATACTTGACAACGTCTCTCTTTCAAGGAAAATAATCGATGAATGCCGTGTCTGTATCTGATAAATATTATAAGGAACACATGCAAATGCAGGAGACATTCTGGCACTGGCTGTGCCATGCAAATACATCAAATGAAGATAAAATAACCAGTTTCCTTGATCACTCTGCCTCACTATTCACAGCACCAAGAATTTTCCTGTACAACTGGTAGAATCTAGTTACTCAGAGGTGATTAAGAAGCTAATCCTCTGCATGCTAAAAAGCTCTGCAATAACATTCCCCATCAGAAAACATTCCTTTCATTTAAACCATACTTCAAGTGACATAGAAATACTGGAAGAATAAAGCTTTTCTGCTTCTCACTGGAAAATTTCCAACACTTAGACATCTGTCTAGTGCAAAAAGCATCTTTTTTTGGTTTGTCAGCACAGCTGTCACGTCAAGACTGCCCACAGTTTACTAGTGCTTCTCCAGAAGAGCAGCACTGCATGATCTCCACGGGCACTTTATTTCAGCTGCTATGGTGAAAATTAAACTGCACCAATGGCCTCGGTGTGCAGCACCAGAAAAATGCCACAGGATAGGACATCCCATTATGGCAGACTTGAAAATTAGGAAACTGTTGTTCTGACCCTCTTTGTCTTCAGTTCTGATGCAGCAGAACTTGATTTTAAGTAAGTGATATTAACTTATTGCCACTCGGGGCTACCGGTGCTGTTTGGTTCTGTTAAGTTCTGCCACTTCCCCAAAGCAATTACACCCTTTTTTCAGGGATCGGGAAGCAGCAGCAATTACCAGTCACTCCAGAGTCAGATGGGAGCCTATCAGCTTTCTCTGCGTTTCTAAATCCCTGGAGCAATCTAAAGAGTGCAGACTGGCATGTGACATGTGAGTGTTAAACACCGATAAACGACCCCATTCACAGGACAGTTGTGCAATAGTTTCTGCAGGTGTGTTCAGCTCTGACCCGGCTCACTTAGGAAATCCCTGTGCCCTTCACATGCCAGGCACGTATTTCTAGTGAGAACACAGCTCCAGTCAACTTTTTTTACAAGCTTTCTGCAGCAGAATTATTACTCCAAGTGACATTAATATTTAAAGACATGCTGGAGAAGATACTTTTAAAAGCAGCTCTTACTGGTTCTGGTAATATCTGAATAAAAGCCTCAAGTAGAACGAGAGACTTCCATCCAAAATAAAACCTTGAAATGCATCAGTTGTTTGGGAACACACATCAAGCCTGGAAACACGTGGAATGTCTTCAGAAAGATGGCAATATTAACACCTTCATAAGCGTAAGACCAATTCTTCAACAGCTCTTAAAACAGAAAGATGCACTACACATACAAAACATAACATTTGTTTACTACTTATTTAATACCTTCCTTTTAACTGAAAATGCTTGCAGGCACCTTGGCTATCTAATGCCTACGTGATTCACAGATACTTGCCTATTCCCTTTCAGAAAACGAAGGTGCACCATTTTTGGTCAGGGAAAAAGGGAGAGTCAAAACAAGTCAAACGGAGGGGGGAGGAATTTAAAGATCTCTTCTCCACCAACAGTTCAATGGGCAATTCTTTAGGAAATGCTTGGAATAAGTCAGTACTACTTATTTTTAGATTTGCTCCTCTTTTCTCCTCCAACATCTCTTATCTTCCCTCTTAAACCATAAAATCAGTTAATGGTCAAGGCTGAATAGAGTTTACTGGTGAGAAAAAAGCCTCAGAGGTGGGACGAATCAAGAATTTAATCTACATAAAGACTCTTTTGCTAGTGACAAATTGCTGTATTTTCCTATTGCAAGCTACTAACAGGTTACACCAGTCCCCCATATCCCGATTTCAGGATCCAGAAACGCTGTGCATCTCCCTGGGATGTTTACACTGATGGAAATACAGATGGCACAGCAACACAGCAGCAACAACACATTCTCCCTACGTGACTGCTGACAGCAAATGGGGTGATACTCTTCAAACCAGAGCTCTGATATTAAAACCAGCAAATGAAAACCAGGATTTCTACCCTAAGGCTTCTTCTAGTTTCCATCTCCTCCCTGCGCACTCAGCTCACTGTGCACGTTGTCCAACGTAAGCCTCACCTCCCAGCCCGCTGCAGAGCTCCCCATGGCCAGACTGAACCTACTGGAACGTTTAAAGTGCTCCTACCCCAGCAGACTGCACAGAGCCCATCTGCCTGGACAGCAGGATTTCCACGGTGGGAGTTACCATGGTCCTGCACAGAGAGGCAGAAAGAACTTGAAAATCTGCCCCTCCGGATGCTGCTCTCAGCTCACACCCTGCAGACAATTAAGACTGGCTGAAGGAAGCCAGTAGTACAGGGAAGCCTGATGAGGGAAAACCAACAGGTGTACTATTAGCTTACAACAAAATAACCAACATTTGGCTATCTAATAAGCAAGTACAGTTCAACTCTGCTTTTCTTTCTTCCAGTGTAAGACTTTGTTCTTATCCAAGCTAAAAGATTCAGAATTTCCTCCTTTAGTGTCCTTCCCTGTCAGCACTGAGTTGACACAGGGTGGGGAAGGTCACAGCTACGAGCAGGAAGTTCAGACCTGCTGGTTACTGCCAACTTCAGCTGAGATACCCAGGAATGAAAATCTCTTCACGGGTAAGTGAGAGGGTGACCACCTAAGGACTGCACAAAGCAAGAGAATCAGAGATAGGATAAAGAACTTTCTCCTTGGGAAAAAAAAAATCTTCAACAGATGAATATCCAGACAAGAGTAACTACAGTGAATTCTTAATTGGTGTTCCCATCCTGCCACAAATCAGAAAAGTATCTTCCCTGCAGTTACGCTTCAACAACCTCAGAGATTTCCAAGCACAAATGACTGCCTGTCTCCCCACTGCTGCTCCAGACTGCAATAAGCCCACAAAAGCTATTGTTTGTTACATTCCTTTAATTCAAGAGGAAGTAATACTATGGGTTTTTTTGATAGGGACAATTTAAGAGTACTGGATATTCCCTCAATAATACAAAGTTATCATTCTTACAGTATAAGAATTATTTTGTTTTCTTTCATGCCAGGTTGTTTGTAGACTAAATCCAGTCAGGAATGTGCTACTGCCTCAAATCTAGAGGGACAGCAAGCAGGGATAACATGTGTGTCATCCATTTACCTTCAACAGTAACACAGCCTACCTCCATATTCCACAGCACTTGTGGACCACAGGATTCTTCCCAGAAAAAGCATTAATGAACCACAATGCACAGTAATAAATCTCGAGTTCTTCCTCCTTCAGTAATGTGTGGTATCTCCTGACATTAGTTGCCTGAATTCAACACCAAAACACTACCTTTGCCTGTATTCCTGGTTTTTTTACATTTGAAAGAAATCCCATGAAACATTAGAGCTCTCATTATACCAACTAGGCAGAACTTAGAAAATCCAACAAACCCTGAAATCACTAATTGGCAGGGTCAAATGAAAAAGCAACACCTTAAAATTCAAATTTTCATAGATTTATGGGGCAAGCCTCAAATTTTTACAGGACAAGGCATGGAATTTAATTAAACTGAAGAAACAACTCAGCTGCTCATGAGTCAGGTGTGCAAGAAGAAGTTCCTCTAGAACTCCCTCCACGTCGGTGTTACCGGTATTTCAACTTCACCTGAGAATCTCTCGTGCCCTGCGTGGCAGGAATGTTTCCTGAGTTACCTCACGTCCCAGCAACAGTTAATACCTCTGGATAAACAAAAAAAAGAGGATGGCAGTGTGGGTGTTCCAGAGATGTCCTCAGCAGAAGGCCAACTTCTCATTTATGATTCATACCCTCATCTTAATTAGCTACTCCAACCGGTAGAGCACCTTGCCTACTTGCAGTCTACAGAACTGATCAAACCCTTGGACTAAAGGAGTGACTCAGGATGGAAGCCAGAAGCACTGATTTGTTTGCTTTGGGTCGTTAGGGGCTATGTTCCCTGCCCAGGCTGCAGTGAACATGCCTCAAAGACACTCCAGCTCGAGAGAAGCAAAGCACAGCTGCGTGTCCAAGCGCTTTCCACGAACTGTGACTTCAGCAGCTCTGACGTGCCATGGCAGCACGGCCCCAGCCAGCCTCGCTCCAATTCCATGTCTCAAATGACACAGGAACAGCAGCTAGAACAGGCAGTCCTCTTACCCCAGCTCCTTCAAGCACAAACTGAACCCACTTCACACACAGCACTCATCCAACCCACTCCACCTCATTTTCCTAGAAGAATTCAAAGTTGAGAAACAGTTTCCATGCCAGTCAGTATCCAATTTCTCCATACTCAAAACTAGCTGGAAGTAAGGCATAACAGAAACTGCATTTTCATCTTAAATATTTCATCACTCAAGTTTGCAAGCTCAAAAGCAGAAGCAAAACCTGTCAGTGAATCCCATCATTAAAGGAAAAAGACACCCTAAGACACTGAAATGAAAGTCATCTATTTGCATTATACATGGAGCTTCATTATGTCAAGTTTGTTTGGCTTTCTCTTTTTGTGCAGGTGCACAAGCTTCCTTTTGTGATCACACCGAAGGCTTTGATACCACAGGTCCAATGCACTTATCTCCATCTTAGAAACAGTAAAAAGGAACAAACTTTTCTAGTTTTCAAAGTGGCATAATGAATTTTGGAATTTGTTTCCCTGCTATTGTGGCTTTTTATTTCCACTGTCATGAACAGCACATTTAGGTTCTTATTAGCTTTTTAATAAATCTATCACAAGTTTTAAAATCAAGAACTCCCTGTCCTCTTTAGCTCAAAAGTTATCCTGAAACATGCACCACTCTTGCAAATCTGGAAGAAAGTTTTGTATTCTATGGAAGTGTTCTGTGAAAGTGCTGTAAAATTTAAATGCCATTTTAACAAGGAATGTTAAACATCGATTCAGCTTTTTCACTACCCCAGTGTGTTTCAAAGCAAAGGCCCTCAAACAAGATGTCATTCTGAACATACATTTCAAACAACAGAAAGCAAATGAATACTTTTGCAGAACAGTGGCAGAAAGTTCCACAGAATAAAAAAACCCAACAGACCAGAGAGCAAAAACACTTCAGCTGAACCAACTGCTGAGATAAAGAAGAGAAACACTAACTCCTGATAAGTCAGAAAGAAGCGAGGAAATGAGGGCAGAGCTCAGCAATTCCAGAACACTGAGAGCATACGGAACCAAGATGGAGCTCTGAAAATAAAATGCAGTAACAACTGCCAAAATGCTGGGCTTTGCCTTTTATCATCTACACTTACTAAAACAACACTTTTCACATACAAGTGGAAAATAAAATTAAGATAGCACTGCCTCTGCCATCAAATTCAGATTGCACAGAAGAGAAAGCCTGGTGTATATGAGGTGCAGCAAGTTTTCAGCACTGCAGGCTCATGAAATGATGCTCTTTTTGCCCAGAAATGAGCTTCCTGCTGGGCCAGTAGCAGAAGGCCCACTCTGCACTCAAAAGAAGGAAAGCTGCACCCAAGTAACCAGTGTTGACCCTGAGAGACAGCACAGGAACAGGACTGACATCCAACGACACGTAGTTTTGATTCCTGAAGAAACACAAGCTGTGGTTAGTGAGAGCACCAAGCCAATCAACACTCAGTGACTTTCAACTAAAAAAGAAAAAGCCATCTTTAAATTCTGAACTGCTGAATCTTCCTGTCTCCACACAACTGCTGCTACATGCAAGCACTGCTAACAGTAGAAGAGCAACAATCACTGCAACCACAAGCCACAGAGGAATTCCGATCCGTGCGTTCCTGTTCTTGTTGATATCCGCTGCCCAACAAACACAGAAGTGGGAAATAAAAAGAAGGCAAATTTATCTGCATTGAAATAGACATCTGTACCATGAGAATTCCATTTCTGATGTTCCCAAGGCAGGGAAGCTGCAGCATTTTAACAGGACCCTGTGCACATACACCTTGCACATCAAAACCCAGCGTGCTCTGAGCATAAGATGATTTTAAATACTGAACTAAGATAAAATATGTGCTGGCTTTTCCTGTGCTCCATAATCATCAGGTGGTTTTACGAGACCATCCAACCCTGCTGCCCTCCCTGAGTCAAAAGCTGAGCCTCAAGAGCGCAGAGCGGCCAAAAGCTCCTACCAAGCACATTGTAAATACAAACCTGAGCAGTCTGAAGGAGACACAGCCTTGTGTTTACCATCTTACCTGCAGCCAGAACCTGTGCAAAGGCAAAACCAGTCCCTGGGATGCTCCTGGCTATCCCTACTCAGCACACAAAGTTCCTGACTAAGTTATGACACTGCTACACTCTTTAGAAGTTTTGCTTTTGAGAAGCACAAGACTCTCATAAAAGCATCCTGAAGACAGAAATGTTCACATTTGGTTTCATCCCTTCACAAATAATTTTTGCAAGCTCAGCAGCTGATAAATTTTCACCAAGACTGAGATTAAACCACAAAACCTCGGATAAACACCCAATGATCGTGTCTGGATTCAAGTGTTTTAACACATGGAAACTGAAGTTCTCTACAAAAAAAGAATTTAGGACTCTCCAGTAATGTGTTAAGCTACATTAGGCTGGACTTAAATACAATCTTTAGACTCAAGTATATGGAGTCAGAACATTACGCTATGATTGTTAAAAAAATGTACAACACCTCCACTGCAACTGGAATGACTCTGCTAAGATCAAGGGATTTATTTTGATACATTCCCACGGGGAAGAGGAATAAAGGAAAAGGCAAGGCAGGTGTATTGATGTAGAGGTGTTTTGAAAACATTTCCATCTAAGGATCAGCCATTCCTCTAAAAAAAACCAACTACACATACTGGAGAGCAGACACTTGCAGCACTCTTGTCCAGGAATTCAGTAATATGGAAAATAAATATGATACAGATGGCAACCACTACAGCTCAAAAAATACTGGTGTGTGGTTATTTCAGTGCCAAACATTTACCCAGTCAGAGCTGCTGATGAAGGGTACACTGCAGTTGTTGTGCCTTAGTGGTCTAACATAACAAGAAACCCTTAATTTTATAATGTGTGGTGTGTTTTCCCTTCCCAGGACATAATTCCAAGCTGTCATTATTTTAATTCCAAAATGATAAACCTGTAGAGGGAACAGAGTCAGTTTAAGTGCTAGGTGACCACCACAACAAAACTAAATATCTGACCCTCAATTAAGATAATTAACTGTCCAAGAAGCAGCCAACTGCTTATTTGTTTTAGAAAGACTTGACAAGTCACTGCAATTAAAACTCAGCGACAAATTAGTGTCAGAAGTTCTTTTGAACATTTGACAAGTATTTCCAAGTTGAAATTACCCAATACTGCCAACATGGACAGGAAAATAAAAGTGATGTGTGATGGTACTATTGGGTATTATCAAGTTTCTATTCTTGTTTAGGAGCTGCTCTGTACCAAGGCTCCACCTTCCTGAGAAACAGCAAAATACTACCATTATTTTAAAAATTCAGGGTTTTTTTTTTTTGCTGTGAAACCTTTTGTCAGACTTCTACCGCCCACTAAAATCAAGACACATAATACATTTTATTAACAAACCTTAATCGCCCCTACATTATATACGTACACACTACTATAGACAACCTGATATTGCTCCTCAATTAAAGCAGACCACTCAAGATAAACACATACACGCAGCTGGACTTGACAAGGGTTTTGAAACAAGAGAAACAGAAACCTTAAATGCCAACAAACACCATTAAAAGGGGCAGGGAAAAACTTGCACAGGAAGCTAAGGTGACAGAGCAAAGACGACGTGCTTAGCCGGGGAGAAACTCAGCACAGGAATAGCAAACACCACAGGTCTGAACAGGTCACAGGCTGATCCAGAGCTCTGCACAGCGGGAGAGGAAGAGTTCTTCTCGCCTGTCTTCCACAACAAGGCTCCTCGCCTCAACTCACGGGAAGCACGGCCTGAGGCGCGGCCGTGAAGAGCTGCGGTTCCTCCAGCAGACACTGAACTGCGGACGAGGCCCAGGACAGCAGCTCCAACCACCCCCTCCCCCACCCCTCCCACAAGGAGCTTCTTCCAATTCCTCCTCAGCCCAGCCGGACGGTGCCGGGCCCGCCTGCCCTCCCCGCGGGCAGCGCAAACGCAGCCCCAGCGCCCAGCGCGGGATGAGGGCCGGGGCGGGCGGCCCCGGCAGGAGAATGCCCGGGGTGACGGAGCGCGGCCCATCCGGGCACACCCGCGCTCGGACCGCCATCGCCGCCCCCCGCTCCCTCACGGCACCGCGGATGGAGCCTCCCGCGCCCCGCCGAGCCGCCCCGCCGGCCCCGAGCGGGGACTGAGGGCCCCCGCTCCCACCTCCCGCTCCGGGCGGAGGCCGCCGCCGCCGCCTCCCCCGGGCCTGGGCCTCTCCCTTCCCCGGGCCATTTTGAGAGCCCGCCCCCGCCCCGGTGCTCACCGCCTGCCGCCGCCCGCCGCCGCCCCCCGGGCTGTGGGTGCGCCGCTGCCCGCGCCGCTCGGGGCTGGGTGCCGGCTGTCCGCGCTCCGCCCGTGCCGCTCCGCCGCCGCGCCGCCTCCTGCCCGCTCAGGCGGCCATTTTCTGCTCCATTGTTACCAAGGAACGGGGGGCCGGAAGCGGCCGCCGGTAGCCGGAAGTGGAGGCGCGCGCGGCCCCGCGCAGGCGCGGCTCTGGAGGGCAGCCCCGCCCAGCGCGCGCGGTCCCGGCCCTCAGGGGCCGCCGCCATTTTGGTGCGGGCAAAGGCTGAGGGTGGGGCGGTGATGCTCTGGCTGCTCCCAGGGAACGTGGAGGGGACCGGGGGTCAGCGGTGCCCGCCCGTGGTGCGGTGCAGCAGGAGGGTCTATGTCCCCGCGGTCCCCTGAGTGTGGGGCCGTTTCCTGTCGCCTCAGGTGTGTGCGCTCTGGGCGAGGGAACTCCGTGCAACGTCGATGGTGGCCAGCAGTGCCAAAAAAACAAATACTGGCAGTACTGGCGCCTGTCGGTGCGGATATTCACCCTGCTCTCCCTTCTATATATTCCTTCTATATTCCTTCCCCTCTGTACATGGGTATTCCTCCACCTCGAACCGTGGACGTTTATTCCCCTCTAACTATGGCAGGTTTCCCCTCTCACCTGGTGTTGTGTACTACATACAGCCCTATGAAAACTAAGATGTTCCTGTTTTCCGATGTGAGTGTTAATTAACTGAATACCAGACTTCCCATGTTATGGAGGGTTAAGCAGTGTCCCCCTCACTGCTGGCATTGTCAAGAGCAGCTGAGGTTTGAAAGATCCCGTTTTAATGCCCGAAAAGTCGTTATCTTGCGAAGGTCTTGCAAGGAAGTCATCTTCATAATATCTAATACCTAGAGGAAAAACATATTGCTGAGGGTTTACACCATTTCAGGAAGCCCACGAGACACCTTTGTTTCTCCTTTTGGTGGTTCTTTATAAAAAGAACTTTGCCTTTGACTTGAGAACTCAAAGGCAGCCACAGCGTCTGGGCAAGAAGAGGGAAGGGACAGGTACAGGGCATATTTCTCATCAGTTTTACTTGCCACAGCCTGTGACCAGGAAAGGAAGACGCCAGAATCCTTAGTCATGGAGAGCAGGAAGGAGTCCCACTTTCATCTGGAGCAGGTGTAGGTTCCCAATATTTTTGTTGAAATAACCAGTACATGAAGCAATTGAGTATTGCTACACCACGTAGCTGGAGTGATGGAGAGGTGATACCTAATAAAGCATAAAACTTGCTTGCAGAATGTTCACTTTTTATGATTTTAAAAGTAAATTGGGGTTGGGAGAGTGAGTTTACATCAGACCAGTCCTCTGCATCATTGCTGAAATTACAGTTAGATTTACTGCAGGGTCAAACCATGAGCTAAGAGCTCTGCTTTGACTGTTAAATGTGAGTAAAATTTAAAAATAAATTTTAAAAAAAGGTAAATTTAATGTCAAAACAATTTTGTGGTTTTAATGCACCAAAATATTTGTCACTGGGAAAAGTTGTCTTGCTCCTGACCCATGACAAATGGATGTTTTATGCAGGCAGTGCTCCAACCCCTACAAATTCCAGTGACTGGAGAAACTGTACCCCCAAACAGAGACCCTGTGGCTGAGCGTGTGGGCACTCCTTTATATTCAACAGGCACCTTTGAAACTGGTAAAAAATCCATTCCCTTGCCAAAGGTGGATAATTCAGGGAGCAGGTGATGGGCGCACAATTGATGCAGTTTCTCGTGGGAGCCTTGAGCCCACCATGGGTAAGGCAGCCATGAGTGTGAGTGCTGGCAATCAGCACAGCAGCAGGACAGCCCTGAGCCTCACCTCGAAGGGGAGCGGAGCTCAGGGCACTGCCACGGGCTGCTCGTGCATGAAAGTGAATCCTGCCTTTTCTCCCCACCTTTTCTGGATACCAGGGGAGGTCAGAGCAGGATAAAAGTGGCTTTGTTTAGACATCAGTAACCTGAGCAGCAAAATATTAGGGAATATTGAGCAAAAGGGAGCTGGAGCGTGTTCTGCTTGGACGGAGGGATAAGATGATGGTTTATGCTCCTGGAACAGCCTTCTGACGGCTGACACGTCATTTTGTTTGTCTCTTTCTCCCTCAACACAATACATTTACCTGATTAACCTTACCAAAGGTCTTGAAAATCATCAAATGGCAAAGCAACAGAGGAATAAAACATTCTTCTTCACGTCTGTGGGTGAGCTCCAGCTCCTGAGGCAGACATTTGCCAGTTTGCAGGGAGATGAACACCCGTGAGGAGCAGAGACAGCAGCTGGATCCTGCTGATTCACACCTTCCTTAGCAGTAAAAACTTGGAGCTGAGGTCCAGGGCACACAGCTGAGGAAAAGTCTCTCCCTCGGTGTGATTTGGTGGATTTATTTGCAAATGCCCTCACAGAGTCGATCAGGTACAGAATAAGCTCTGATTTTTCAAAACCACTTAATGGATTTCAGTATCCACTTGACATTAATAACAATTAATGACCTGTGCACACACATCTCCTTAACAGCTTTGACAAAATTAGGAGCAGTGTAGCAGCATATTTCAAAAAGCTTGCAGGGGAAAATATATTTGCATCGAGAACTTTGCAGTATAGGGAAAAATCCAAAATCTGCAGGAAAAGCATGGTGTAATTCCTACTTAAGTGTTTTCAGTTTGCTACTGTGTGTATAGCAAAAGGGAATTGTAACACTTTTCCATGGTAAGTTTAATGTCGTTTCCTTCAATGAGTGTAAATAAATTTGCTTTAAATTCCCCAGGGTTTTAAAAACTGCTTATTAGGTATGCAGTGATAGATGAAAAAATTGTTGGCTTTTTTTTTTTTTTCTAAAAAGATATTAAAATAACTTATTCTCCATATAGCTAAGTAATAATCCAAATGCAGTGAGGTGAGGAAATCTGAATCTCTTGGGAGCTTCTAAACCTGAGCAAAAAAATTAAAAATACCAGACCCACCAAACTCAGATGTTTGTGTACTGCAAGTAGAGGCAGAGCCAGGAGCTGAGCAGGGAGCTGAAGGCAGCTGGGAGGTGTAAATGCAGCAATTCTGATTTTCTCCAGCTACCTGGGCTTAAATCTGGGCTGCTGTTTACTTTTTAGATTGACTTGTCTTTCTGTAGCTTCTGGCAGAAAGTTACACACAAAGTCTGTGGCAAATGCAGGATGTGTGAACTTCTGCTTCTGAATTCACTTAATCCCAAAGGATTTCTGTGCTGTTTACTGACACCTAGTTAGGTGCT